GTACAGTAGTACAGTAGTAGTAGTAGTAGTAGTAGTAGCAGGAGTAGGAGTAGTAGTAGTAGTAGTAGTAGTAGTGCTCGTAGTGGTAGTAGTGGTAGTAGTGGTAGTCGTGGTAGTAGTAGTAGTAGTAGTAGTAGTAGTAGTCGTAGTAGTAGTAGTAGTAGTAGTACTGATAGTACTGATAGTACTGATAGTACTGATAGTACTGATAGTAGTAGTAGTAGTAGTAGTAGTAGTACTGATAGTAGTAGTAGTAGTAGTAGTAGTAGTACTGATAGTAGTAGTAGTAGTAGTTGTTGTAGTTGTAGTAGTAGTAGTAGTAGTAGTAGTAGTTAGTAGTAGTAGCAGCAGCAGCAGCAGTCATTGGGAGTGGTAGCAGCAGTTGCAGTTGCAACAGTAGGCGTAGGAGTCGTAAGAACCATACAAGTAGTTCTAGAGGCACAGGGAGCAATCAAGTCGTTGTCGTGCTCCAATGGCCTGGATCAAAGTGGAAATGACTGGCTGGGTACCTCCATCAGCCATGAGGGCAGCGTGCAAACCGTGTCGGAGGCTCGTGGAAGGATTCTGAAGCATTGCCTCCAGGGCTTTAGGGCCCCTTCAAGGGTTGGGGTGTGAGTGTCGTATTTGGAATCTCGCTTTGCTGGCGTCTTACTGAAGCATCTGGCAGGGTTAGATGGCGGGAAAGGACATCGATTGTCTCCCTAACTCCCCAACTCGCCTGCACGACTCGGAGAGACCCTGAGAAGCAGGCAGTTTGAAAGGCATCGAAACCTGGTAAGTTCAGCTTGCTAAGATCCGCTCCAGCATCACACAACGTCTGCAGACCTTCCACGTTGTCTGCTACACTCGCCCAGTGAATGGCAACGCCCTGATGTCCATCGACCGCATTCACCTTCGCCCGTGCAGACAGCAGCAGCTTCAACACTCCATTCCGACGGAAATACGCCGCCAGTGACAGGACGGGCATATTCTGCGGAAGAAGCATCTTGGGCTTGTGTCGGGTAATCCTGTCGTTGCAGTCTGCTTTCTGTCTGAGCAATGCCTTGGCTGAGTCTTCTTGAATCACGACATGTCAGGAAAAGTGTGACTTGTTGTGTCATGTCATCTGGTATAACCTATTTTTGGCTGACACACTGAAGGAGGTTCAAAGGTGTCAAAGCCAAAGCCACTTCCACCAAGAATTGCTTGCCGGAAAGGACGGCATAACACATTGGCGTCCACCCTGCAGAGTCTCGCTCAGAAACCGCCTTAAAGCCAGTGTCATGCAAAAAGCGTTCCACTGCAAAGGCCTCCGGATAGGTGAAAGGATCCGCTTGCGACACGAATCCCGGCATCAAGCCCTCGAGCGGAAGAAAACCGAGCCCCGACAGGCAACAAATATCTTGCGTGCTCAAGAGATACCGGAAATTGTGCATATCACCTTGTTCCAGGTGATATTGCAATTTCTTCCAGACCATCTGCACAAGTACACGTCCGACTCGAGCACGATCGGTCTCCAACGTAAAAAGGCCGGCACCCGGGGAATCCAGGTGCCGATGGAGGCTGGACATAACGTGTTGCTGCGTCTCGCTCTCGACTATGACCACGAAGCCATCATCCCGCACTGCAAGTTCTCTGGCCACACGCTCGGTGCGACACCTGAGCGGCACCACTATAAATTATGTACGAAATACTACCTACTGTATTACAGGAACCGCCTACCTCATGAAATTCTTGGCCGTGCCCTCCGGCGGCGTCACAGTGCAAAGCGGGAAACATGGTTTACAATATTTCTGTGACCGGAATCGAAACGATGCTGGCCGACACCGGGCACCGGAAAGTAACTTCGACTCACAGTGTCTGAAACGAACAACAACCGGTGGCAAGGTCTGTTCATCCATTTGCCTCCAGAAGCTCACATGCCGCTGCAGGCAACAACTTGTTGCGGGGTCTTCAAGGCAAACGGTCGACCCTACACTCCCTGTGAACCTTCCGCGCACGCCTTAAAAATACAACGGATTCATTAAGGTAAAGGTCCGAACTATTAGTGACACTTTTCTCTTCGAGTCCGTGTACAACTTTTCAGACTAAACCAATACCCTACAGAGGAGACCATGGGCCTGCACTCTGGCACACCAGTATTTTTAGCGGGTTTGTTTCTTTTCTAGTCCGTTTGAGCGCGAGTGTTGTTCCAAACGTTCTGGGCGTTGTTTGATGCACATGTGAGCTGTTAAAACTTGTGAATGTGTCTCGTGAGATTCTGTGTCAGTTGCGTTTCTTTCTTGTTTTGGTGTCCGTCCCTGTTTGTATTTACAGCTCCAACATCAACTGTGAATCGCAGTCCCTCTTGTTTACACGTACGGGGTTCGTTGATACGCCATGCTATCAAGGCTGAAGCTTGGAAGGAAGGAGGGGGCCCTCCCCCCACTCCCCCCCAACAGCCACCATCCACCATCGCCCTTGCAGCCTGCCACCACCGAACTGAGACCAAGCAACAAGTTCGGAAAGCTTACCTTACCGCAAATCTACGTTGGACTTTCTCCACGCATCGGGTTTGTGTGGTTTAGCAAGGCCGTCTTTGAAAAGGTTAAGAAAGAGCTGGCATTTGCTGTGCTTCTGCTGGGAAAGATAGGTTTTTGATCCGTTGTTCTTAAACACCAGGCCTTGTTTGTGTCAAATGAGTTGTGTATAAACACGTGGATTACTTGTGTGCGAAAGTGCATATGTGCCGTGTGCCCGTCTTCCGTTGCATACGCGACATGTATCATAGTTAACCACGGCAGCACGAGGTTCCTGACTCCCTGGCAGGCAGCGGCATGCGTCCTTACATGTGGAAGTCACTCGGACGTATCGACATGCAACAAAATAAACACATATCTCGAAAATCCTGAGGGCTTTGCGTAGTAATTCACCTGCATCAGTATCCAACGTTGTATGGTAAAGCAAAGGATGCTTTGCATTCTGGTCTTGGGTGGACTAGCCTGGTGGGATGAAAAAAAATCTTGCAGGCTTCATGAGGGACAGTTTATTCACCCTACCCCAAAAGTTGGCTTGAACAAAGCAGAAATACACGGTGTTTGCAGAGTTTCCTGCCTGTGGTAGTTGCTGTGCTGTGAGAAGAACGCTGAATAAGTAACCAATCAATAGTGTGGTGTGCGGTACCCGTTGACGCCTGATCATGCACATGTTGAGCCTGACCATGTATGCATTACTCGGGAATATAAGTCAACGCTACTTCATGTTGTAATGCTGTGTATGCCTTGGAAGTGTTCCGGGCTGCTAGAACTGGACACTATGTTTAAAGAGTGGGTTTGCCAAGAACCAGGCCCCACAGCAGGTTCTCAAACCCTCTTCGGCCATGTTCGGCCCACATTACCAGGTCACTCCTTCAGTCATGCTTTTGTCCTTTCGAGACAAATGAGCCCGGGACCAACCCCGCTCTGCCCAGCTTGAATGATTCAGCATCTGCTGCTGATTTGCATGTTGTAGCTCCGGGCATAGGATGACAAAGTACTCGCACCTGGCATTGCCACCCCGACTGCTCACAGCAGCATCCGTTACCCTAGCTGCCCCCGAAACCCTAAACCCTAGTTTAAACCCTCGTCGCCTTGAGACGTAGGTCACGATGTTGTCTATAGCACGTTGGCGGTCAGCTCTTGAGAGATCACTCGCCCCCTGTGGGCAGGAGAAGTAATCATACCAAACAAACCTTGGCTGGGGTTTAGGGTTTAGGGGTTTACGCCTGAGACCTCGCCTGGCTTGTCCGAGATGAGAGAGTGTTCATGGTTTAGTGGTTTAGGGTGTAGGGGGTGTTTGAGGACTGTCGGCCGAGAGTTGCTGCGAACCTGTGTTTTCTGCCACTCCCCAATCACCACATCCTAATCAAAAATTGTCCCAAGCCATCCAAGCAACAGCCGTCCGGATGTGAAATCAGCAGCTTGCGGCGTCTTCAAGCGACCATAGAAAAGCTCTACCGTGACTGGGAGGGAGACACGGCTTTGTCCAGACATGATGTTACGTAGAGCGCCTTGGAGAACTCTGAACTGATGACCTGATGGATCCTTGGTTCATGCAGTCGCCACTCCCTCTGTCTCGCACAACTTCGTGGGCAGAAAACAATGAACAATCAATAAAGAACCCTACATGGTTTCCGATGTGCCCGCGTCAACAATGCCCAAGGATCTGGATGGTCGTTGGAAAGCCACTGGTGCGACACGAACATGGCACTGCCCAAGCTCTCGTCGAATGGTACAAGGGCTCCGGCGCGCAGCAGCTCCTTGTGCACATCAACCCTCAAACTGAAATCCAACCGAGGGACCGCAACGACAAGATCGTGTTTCATGCTCGGCATGTGTTCCGATTCCCTAACATAACCGCGCTAACACGACACCGGGTTCTCACATCTGGGTGCGTCTGCATGTCTTTATCTATCTATCTCTCTATCCATATCTCAATCTATCTATCCATCTGTATACCTTACTTTCTTCAAATGAAACCTATCTCTCTATCCGTCCATCTCTCTCTCTCTCTCTCTACCTGTCGATCTATCTACCTAGCTGTCCATCTACCCATCTATCCATCTATCGATCGATCTCTGATCTGTCTATCCATCTATCCATCTATCTATCTGTGTGTAAGTATGTGTATGTGTTTACATACATGCTTATTTTACAGTTGCCACCGCAAACATGCTCTGATACGCAATGGCACCGGCTTGACGCTGGAAAAGCTGTTCGTGGCTTGTGTTCGATGTCAGTATGGAACATGAACGTCAAAATTCCGAACCCTGGCCCAGCAGTTAGCAGCTCCTCGTGCATCTGAATCTCACGCATCGCAAGCAGAGATGCTACCGAAACTGTGTACCTCGGCTGGCTCTGAGGCGGCTCTGAGGCAGAGCAAACTCTTACGGGCCAAGCACGCCGGGGCCTCCGGTGCTGTGAGCCCCTACAAGGCCCTAAAAAGCTGTCTCAATTTCTCAATCATCATTTCGTCGCTCCGCACAAGTTTCGATTCTGCTCAAGATGCCGAACTTGCAGCATACTTCTCACCCAAGGTGCATAGGAAATGGTACGAGTTGTGGCAGCTGAGGGGTGAGCGAATGATACAGGTCCGGCCCTGGCTGTTGCCATTCAGCAAGCAAGTCAGGGGAAATCGAAGCCATTGCTGCTCAGCTGGGCCACCGTCTAGTGAGAGCAACTGAACTGCTCTCCCAGAAAGCCGAAAAGCACGAACGATTTTGACTACAGCTCTCATGGTACGACGACATCGAACTTTGTAACAAGACACCCACGGCACCCCTAGCCATATCAACGCCTGATAATATAGCACATGCCACCGGCATGCATAGAAAAAGACAGCACTGCACGACAAAAACTGCAAGGAACCAAACGCATGCAATAACGCGTTATGCCTTGGCCTGTGGCGAAGCTAGCAGCTAATTGCGACATGCTGCACACATGTCTGGTGAACTAGCAGTTGATGTCATGCCGCAATACACTACGGCATCAAACACATAGTGTCGCACAGCAGGAAACAACCAGATGATCGTGGTGCTGGTGTGTCGCAAAATGGGTCTCGATGCCTTGCGAACGTCATTAACATGCTCGGGCTTCCTGTGTTGAAAACACATTGCAGCGATCATCACCTCGAAGGTTTTTCATTGCACGTGAAACTGAAAGCTGCTGTCTGACGGTCGCTTGTACAAAGATTTGAGTATCTGAACTCGCTCTCATAACTAATGGCTCATGAGGGCTAACCTCCTGCACCGAGAGGCTGGGGGGTGTGAAGGGGACTGCGAACCCAAAACTCGCTAGCCACTGACTGGATGTTCACGGCTTTGAAACTTGGTGGACATGGGACGTGAGTATGTTCAACCCACACAGCCATGGGCAGGATGCTAGTCGAGCTCTTCGCCCTAACTGTCGATTTTCTTGCGCAGCTCCGGTTGCGGGGTTTTCCCCATCCAATACATACGGTACCTGGCTTTGAATGTTTACAATAGGCCCCAATAGGCAGCTGAATACTGATGCCTCCCCGCATATCTTTCCACCATCTAGTTTCGAAACTTAATGACTTCATTAGTGCAATGGCGTTTTGGGGCTGAGCCGGTCGCTCTCCGTGGCACAGCCTACAGAGATAAGACATGATCGCGCCAAGTATTCCAATGGTTTTAATGGTGTGTTGCATTATATTGAGTTATATTATCTTATGTTGCCTTACATTTTGTTATTATATGGCATGATAAGAAATGTTCATACTTATTTTTAATATGTATATAGATATATATACATATACTATGTTATATCTTATTAGATTAGGTTAGATTAGCTTGGATTAGAATATATATTTATATATATATGTGTGTGTGTATATATATATATGTGTGTATATATATATATAAGTATATGCTACGTATGGCATCTCAACCGTAACAGCTGGATAAAAAAAGCGATGCGGCGTCCTCTGCATGCCCGTGGAGCATCTGCTCCACACTCCGCCCGGCACAAATGAAGCGACGAACCTTGGAGGTCTTCCGGGTGGAAATCCCGAACAAAACCTAGACACACCTGCTCTTCCATCTTTGCACCTCCGATTGACCACGCCGAGGTAACTGACTCTCCAGACGGTTCAACACCACATAACTGAGGCCCAACCAGAACTCAAAAACTGGTACAAATTAAAAGTAAGTGCACGTGTGGCTACGTCACGTCTGCGTGTTGGATGACTCTTTGCAGGAACCGACACATTGACAACATCAGCAAAATAGCAAAAAAAACATCACATCAGCTCCACTCGCACCGCTCGATCTTTCGGGCTCTTGGGCTTCTGGGGCGCGTTGCTGCAATCCACCCTCCAAAACGCCCCTATGCTCGGGGTTGTAGAGCTTTCGAGGTTCAGGGGTGTGTGTGTGTGTGTATGTGTGTGTGTGTGTTTGCGCTTGTTTGCTTGTTTTCGTGCACCTGCCTGTCTCTGCCGGAGACCGTCTGTTTTCTGTTGGTCTGTCCTGCCGTCCGTCCGTCGGTCTTTCTAGCGGTCTCTGTGTGTCAGCATGTCTCAGGGTCTCGGTGTGTCTGTGTCTGTGTGTTTGCCAGCGTGTGCATGTCTGCGTGCTTGTGTCAGCGTGCTTCTGTGTGTCTGTCCGTCTGTCATCCTGTCTCTGTCTGTACGTCTGTCCCTGTCTGTCTCGCTGTTTGTCTCGCTTCTGTGTCTGTGGGTTGGGGGGGAGCGGGGTGAGTGTCGCGCGGGCCTGTGCGTCTGCATGCGTGAACATCGACAACTCTGCTTCAGTGAAGCTGCAGCCGAGGAACAGCTCGCAGCGCACACTCCATCTTATGGGCAGTTCCCAGAGAATAGAACAAGCGGATCCTTCGGATGGAACTGGTGTGAGGTTAGAACTCGATAACATGTGTAGGTTTTGGAGACAGTCTATTTTGCTGAACGTCACTCGTCGTTGATCTTCTTCACAGAACGTCAACTGCAAGTGATGTTTTCAGACAATGATCCGACAGGGAGTTGCCAAAACTTGCATCATGTGCAGCACGCAGGGTTCGGTTGACAATAATTTCTCAACATGTCAAACTTCAGGGGTGTGGGACTTCCGGCTTGAGTCTCCAGGCTTTCGGCGCTAAGAGTTTCCAGCTGTCGAAATGGATCGGTTCAGTCAACAAGCTGAACGACAAAGCCATATACAGCCGTATTCGCCTCGAAGCAAGGGCATGCCATGGAGCCTAAACGGCAAGTGGGACCTCTGAGCTCTACATTACATTACAGCTAGCAGCTAGCGAGAAAACTAATCCCACCCCGAAGTGCTGTCAGGCAGCTCTTCCGGCAACTTGGCTGCATGCTCCGCCTTGGGGCTTGAAGCCGTGGCGGAACTGCAGGAAGGAAAACAGCTCCAAAATTACGATTTCACTCTTACTGTCGGCAGTTTTGCTACAAAATCGAATTGCTGCCTACGTCGGCAAAGAACTCTGCGACAAACGCACAAGGCTTCTCGAGTTCAGCGTAGGACAGACATGGAACTAGACATGGAGACGGTCTTCACCAGTGTTCAATCCAAGCGTATCTTCGTGCTATCACTGCACGCACTGCTCTCTGAGTCGGGGTATGCATTTGCCAAATCGATCTCTGCGATAGCAATACTGATTCTCATGGAACGCTCATCAACATTGCCGCGTGAAGTTTAGGCCACCTGAGACTCCAAGATTGTGTTAAACAGATCTAGTGAACGCACCGCCGCTATGCTCAGTGCATGTGATTCGGTGGCTGCACCGGATTCAAGACAATTCCCTGGGCCACAGCAGGGAAACCCCGTGAAGAGTCTTTGTGACGCTATTTGACCAAACCTGAAAATCCCCGCACACGGTTTGGAAGCAGGAGTCCACGAACCATACCATTGACCCCAAGACATAAGACTCCCAACTGCTGAATGTCAAACAAACCATAGGTTCACACCGGTCTCCTGAGCGGGTGAGGAGGCGCAGTATCTTGCGTCCAAACCCAGCAGACCGGTTGTGAACAAAAACTGTTCCTGACCCCCCCTCCCCTCAATACCCAACCCCCCCCCAACCCCTCCCAAAGCATGCAGAGGCTGTTTGCAGTCGAAGAGCCGACCAGCTGTCAGGAGTAGCCGTGGTGCTCATGCCTCGGTACACTTCGAACGGCTTATTCTTGGGGATTTAGGGTTGTTAAGGTTGAAGGCAGCGGTCTAACCTTCCCTATTGTGAGAAGTACACGTCTTGAGCTGTCGGAAATCCGCAGCTCCCATGTTGAATGCCACTGCAACTACGGGAAAGATGGTGTAAGGATAAGTGTGCAGTCCCCGAGGAACCTGCACACTGTGCGGCAATGGGAAAGACGCGCAAGCTTCGTAACACCGAGTTGGCTTATGTTTGTGGCGTTTTGAAGTTGAAGGTTTATACATGGCACGGTCGGGATGAAAAGATCTTCCGAGTGGCTTATGAGCTCTCCCAGGTCGAAAACGGGCAACGTGTCCTGCACAAGCTAAGAGCCCGCTTGCCCAGACCACTGGTTACAACGGACCCTATGAAGTCAAAAAGGATCTGTTGACACGATCACAGACGTGATAGGTGTTTAACTTCGACATGAACCTCAGCTCGGTACTCGGCTTGAGACCTCAAAAGACTTGACGACAAGCATCCCTCTACCTCAGAGAAGACTGGCCAGAGTTGTGGATTGTTGAGACTCGCAGTCGTCATTGAGGTAATTGATCTTCTTGCCCCACTCAATTACATGCACTCTTGCCTTAAGTGTCGATAGCGCTGCTGACGATGTTGCCGCTGCAATTATCGTAGCTGGTCTTGCTTCGTTATGCTGGCGAGGGCATCCAAATCTTGCTACGCTAGAAGGCAGAAACCATGGCGCCTTCAATTGCAGCGATGCGTCGAAGCTGCGGATCAAGGCCGGAACTGCGATAAAGGCATGCGGGTACCTGCTTCTGCCGATCGTTTGGAGTCTGAGGCTAGGGAAGGGAGGCTTTTGGACTCATCTTGGAGCCTTTGGAACTTCGTAGAGAAGTTTTAAAGTCTTCTGGTTCATGGCTGTAAAGCAAAAGTAGAACGACTAAAATCAAGAACTCATGCAGGGTTCATGTTTCAAGGCTTTGGGCTGTCAGCATGGAAAGATCTGCCTGCCTCATGCAGAAAGACCACATATCCCATACTCGGCATTCTCTCTACGTGCTTGTCCGAGAGAAGCAGCTAGGCTCCCACCCTATACGTTGAGATAACAAGAGAAAACAGGTCGCCGACACTGCAATGAACCTGTACAGAACTGGGCACGGAAGCAAAAGCTAGTAACTACAGTATCTAGGCTTCGGCCCCCGCAACTCATTGCTTCAGAGCACCGATCCAGCCACATGCTGATCAGCAGGTTGTAGAAAGCCGCCTTAACTTCGGAAACATTTGGAGCTTGTGTTGCTGGCGGTGGATGGGATTGATGCTCATGTGCATATACCACCACGCACTAGAGGTTGAAGTGACATGACTTGCAGGATACTAGACTGATGTTGTCGTTCTGCCTTTCCGAAGTGCCCTGTTCCCGCTGTCTTGAGATGAAACTGCGATTCTTTTGCCGCCTTTGTAGTTGCTTCCTCGAGGGTTTTGGGCTTAACGAGACATTTCTTCAGGAAAGCTCCCGTACTTGGCAAGTCACACGGAAGGTCGTTGGCAGCCGCGGGTCCGAGGCACCACAGAGACAGAGGTTGTAGGAGTACCTACAGGTACACTTTGAAAGGGTTCAAGGTAATGAAGGACTCAATTCTGGGTCTTTTGCATCTGCGCTTCTGCACCGGGATCCTGTTTCTGTCCGTACTGCTCGAACTTATGGTAGTGTGCAGTATCTGATAGATCATGCGCGGAGCTTCCACTGTGGCAGTTGGTTGATGCCCAGCATGGGCTGGGTTCCAAACAAGCAGGGTAGGAAGCACAAAGGGAATTGAAAAGTTTGTTGGCTTGGGCTTGCTCGGCACGAAACATGTTACCGACCATCCGAGGGCTGCAGCACAACTGCCTGCAGCGGATGGTGTCTTGCTAGGCCCCTTCACAAGCCGCAGGGGTACTCCTCTTGAAGCGTCATAATGCAATGCATCTGCCGCTCCTGTTGCATCACACCGGGGATCGTCTAGGATCCTACCCTAAACCCTTTTGCAACGGGCGTGTGCCCCAAAACCCTAAAACCTAAACCCCAAACTACGATACTCGTCAGCGAGGAGGTTCCGGTACCAAAGCATTCCGTGGCTCAAGCAGCCTGAGGCCGAGATTTCTTCTTCCCCCGAAGTCATGCATGTTGCGTGCGTTTTTTTCTATTATTGTTTTTTGTATTGGAATTAGCATTCGTATTAGTACTAGACCGCGCCTTGGAAATCAGCATGGGAAACTGACATGGCTCGGCCCTAGTCCTGCATCTCATGAGAGGGCCCAGCAACACGTATACATGCCTGAAAAGGGACTGAACCCTAAACCCACCGATGCAGTTCTTCTCCTTTACCATGTCGTCCAGAAGCTGTAGCTGCGCGAGAAAATATTTCGCGAGGGTCTTCCTGATGGGGTGCTGGAAGTTGTGAAAATGAGGCAAAGCTCGGGGGATAAAGGCGGGTCAGTCTGTTTGCAAGTTGTTGCTCTCTCTGGCTCAGGGCAAGTCGACTACGAGCAAGATGCTTTGCTGCTTCACCTAGGGTGTTGCGGGAGTTGCGGGCCAAACTCTCGTCTGTTGGTGTTGGAAGCTAGCTTGCACGAACAAGAAATTACCTGGCACCGGTGATCCATCAAGCCCAAACGAAGCATGTCAGGTACTTGGAGTAGAACCTACTCTGGCCTTGCAGCCCCACCTCCTTCAAGCTTGAACTCTTGCCGAGCCACAACCGTTGTAGCCGCGACTGGCTCCCGGCGCCTTGCCCGTCGTTGGTGTTCCATTTGGATTCCTCCAAGAGAGACCTCAGGATATCTCCCTGGCATTAGGGTTGCCGGTGTCCAGGAGCGACGGGCGCGCTCAGCTTGTAGATACTTTGTTGCACATGTTTGTTTTGCATCTTGGACTCCAAAAATAGTTTCCGCTGGTCTCCAACTACGTATGGGAACAGGTCAGATTTTTTGGTTATCTGGTTCTGTTTCGAAAGATGGCTATTTGTCGAGGCCTCTCCAAATTTTCGAACCCCGACCCGGTTCCCCCATTTGCCCTCCCGCCAAACCTGCACGCAAAATTCAGTTGACCTTTCCGGAATGCTCGCCACACTGTTGATTGTCCACCCCGGCTCGTTCCCGTCCTTGCCCCTCCCCCGCAGTACCATAATCGGAACTCAAACTATGAATAACTTGGACTGGGATATACGTTTGTGAGACTTTAGGTACTGTGGGCACTAGACATCGGAGAATAATTGGGAAGAAGATTGGACTAGCAAAATATGGTGTAGAGGTCTTCCGGAACTGCAAGCTTCACACGGTTGGTTTAGGGATGTCTGGGGCGAACGGCATTGAGCGTTTGCGGACCGCCCTAAACCCTTCTGATCCTTCTAAGCCTTACCCGTGCCCTCAATCCCCGAACCCACAACTCTAAAGTCACGCTCAGGGCAGGACTGTTCCTGTCGCTGCATCTCCTCACAGGCTCGGGCGTATGGCTTTTGGATCGGCACTCCCGGTTAGGGCTTGAGGCGCTCAAGAAGATACGAGCGGGCCGTGGGGCTAGATTGTTTTCGAAATCCGCCGGTGCTCTTGCCACAAGTGCCGTGCATACCTCTGTTGGTGATTTAATCACATTCCCCTCTTGGATCTGCTGATGCGACAAGTGCGTCAGACAAGCAACGTCATAGTTGCGTTCAGGGGACGTTGCTCGAGTAATACTAACAACAATTATAACGCCCAAGCCACACATCCACACCGAAGCCCAAGCTTCCACTCCGAGTCTTTGGAACCAAGCCTCCAAAGCCTGGCAGCGACTGCGGCGAACTACGAAATCAAGCTAACTGCAGATCGGGCTCATCCCAGGAAATGCCGGTGGCGAGCTCCTAGTCACGTCCGAAAGTGCTGGGTGTTTGAAGGTCTCAGGTATTGAAACGAAACTGAAGGAAGCTTGGGGTCTGAGCCTACATGTACACTCAAGGCTTTGAGGTTTGAGGATCAATCAGTGTGCGACTACAGGTAGGCCCCGGGACCTCTTCAATACGGTGACATGTCGGGTGTGGTGGAGTTCGCACCTTCGGTCGCTCGGGACTGGGCCCTGCCCCAGCCAGGCCAAGGTCCCCCAGAATTGAATCGAAAATCTCAGGCGCTACTTTGTTCCAATCGCCGAAATTGCGTGCAGCTTACTTCGTCCGAAACCCTGTGTACGCAAGGCTACAGTTTACACTGCGGAGCTTCCGTGCTATCCGTGCCGAGTTGCACAGCACTGCTGTGGTTGCAATACCCACGCAAGGTTGCTCAAGGACACCTCAGACATGCTGGAGCTCGGGTCTTTTTCACCGCGCTCGGGGCTTGCAGTTTCCCCTTGGGCTATGGGAGTGTTCGAGAACGTGAACTCAGAGGTCCAAGAGTGAACGAGATGTTTACGCGGCGGCGCTGAATCTCGGCTTTCCGGTCGAAGGCTGAGACTCGAGCGCCATCACTTAGTCTTTCTGATTGTTCAACAGTTCCACAGGCTGAGCATGCAGGACTCAAGGTAGGAGTTTTGGTAATTTGAACAACGCTGCTGAGCCTCGGGGGTCCTCATCGACATTTTTGCATGTCTCGTTAGGTCCGCTGGATGTTCGTCCCGGCTATGCCGCTTTTCCTTCCAGTAGTTGTGATGATTCTGATCGCCGAAATTATGACTAAATTCCAGCTGGGTTGAAGAATGCTTGGCAACGTGGCACTGACAAGATGAAGTTGGTTACGATGGAGACGATACAAAGATCATGAAAAATAAATTATGATGATGGTAACGACGATGGTGATGTAACATCAAGTCGTGGTGACGATAGACTATCAAGATGGCGATGCACGTGATGAGGAAGGCAAAAGGCAGCGATGATGGTTACTGGCTGTGTCGATGCCGTACATTGTAACGATGCTGATGATGATAATGATGATGGTGGTGGCGATGAATTGTGCCGATGCTGATGTGCATGTAGCTGTGGATCACCTTGATGAGTTGGGATGACGATGGGGGATGACCCATTTTTTCGCACAGGTGCCCAAGCTCGGCCACCCCGAAATTCGACGACCTTGAGGCCAAGCGCCTCGCGTGCGATTTTTCCAGCTCCCATCCGAACCGAAACTGGATTTGGCACTCCGCGATGCAGTTTCTGCCTAGACCTCTTCGCTGCACAGCACAGCATTCAGACCATGGCCCAGCCTCTGGCCCGTGGTACAAGACGCCTTGCCCGGCGACCCAATTGTTCCTGTGACGCTTGGGGTTGGAATCCGTTTGGAGCAGATTGAAAATCAATAGTTTATTACGTGCAGACATGCAGGCATAACATTGCATAACTACATACATACATGACATAGACCCATGCATGCATGCATACATACATGCATACATACATGCATACATACATACATACATACATACAAAACAAAACAAAACAAAGCAAAGCAAAGCAACACAAACAAACAAAAACAAACAAACAAACATGCATACGTGCACACACGCATACATGCATACATGCTACATACATACATACATACATACATACATACATACATACATACATACATGCGCGCATGCACACATGCACACATGCATACATGCATACGTACGTACGTACGTACATACATACAGACAGACAGACAGACAGACAGACATACGTACCTACATACATACATACATGCATACATGCATTCAAGCATGCATGCATGCATACATACATACACATATACATATATATACACACACACTACAAATAGGGAGCCCTATCATGGTATGACCATGATTCTGCGAAAAGTATATGTGATTAGGCAGCTGTTAACCCGCACGAACAAACCACGAAGCATCATGCTAGCGATGGCGCAACCAGAATCAATAGCAACAACCAAAACTTCTGCCCCCGAGTCGCGGGTAAGTCCATGCGATGAGTATATCGGAGATGCCCTCTGTAAGCAGCTGGTATCCGAAGACCTGCCGGTTTCCGCAGAAATCTTGACAAGCTCAACCTTCAATCGAATTTGTAAGTGGAGAGTTGAATACCCGGCTTTGCATGGCCTTCATCTGGGAAACCAAACGCCCACAGAACTTCTGTCTACAGGGACCTCAAAACATATCGTCCGGGCAAGACCAGCTGAATCTCAAGTCTTCCACGCTTGCGTCATATCCGCACAGACCCCAGCCGCATCGGTCCAATCTCTTCTTTGCTTCATCCAGCCTGCAAGAGCCTCTGCTGGGAACCAATCTCTGCACTGAAACTGATACAGTAACGAGGCCACCCCTGTGTAGAGAGATGCCTACTCAACTGCGCTTATGCCACCTTCTCCAGGGGGGCGATGTGCTTGGAGGAGGCTTGTCCTGCCCGAACTATTGCTCGCGGTTCAGGAAACGGAGCTTTGCCGGTTTAAGTCTAGGGTGCAGTTCGGCGCATGGAAAAAACATTACGGTCGGTGTGCGGTAGTCAAGAGACAATGACAAGAGAACACAAGAGGATTTCAAGATCCCATCTTGCGTGTTTTTGCATTCGGGCTTGGGAAGTCGGCCGGGGAAAGTGACAGAAAACAGTAACATCCTGCTTTTGCCTTTCGGGCTGGCCCAAGACATTCTATGAGGGATGTATAGTCTTGAAGAAAACTATGACCTGTGTCCCAAGAAAGGCTGTTTTGAACATGCACCATGCGTGGCGTGAGTTGGCCTTGAGAAGGCTCAGCCCTCTGAACAAAGCTTCCCAACCCGCTTTACATCTTGGCACTCAAATTCTGCACCGCGTTGCTTGAAGAATCTTGAAGATATAAGGCAGCTTAGGCTTCGAAGGGAGCTCGACAAGCTCTGACTCTTGTGCACCACGCGTGAATAATGAGGACTGTGCCCACACTAAACCCGATATGTCTGCAGTGTTGGATCCTTGAAGATCGGACTTGACAAGAATGCGCGCAGACCCACGCCACCCCTGCGGCCCCTGCCTAGTGGCAGTCCGATAGGCGGACCCGGCGCCACCGAAATTAGCAGCTCGGACCTTCCGAAGGATAACTTCGACGAGGGGTTTATGATAGGCCGAAGCCAGGATCGAGCATCACCACTCGAAAGCATCTATGTTGTGATCGATTCTACGCCAAGGCCACCATTGCAGACTCTCTTACCGTGGGATATGCGGCAGCTGCGTGCTGTGGTTGTTCAGTTCCTATAACCCATTTGGGTGCCGGATGCTCAAAGAGACACATACAGACACACACACACACATACAGCAGCCGTTCAGTCATGCTCACAGTGAGTGAGCCAGAAACATGGCGAGCCTGTGTCGCAACATCCCAACACCCAGACAAATGCCACGACACCACTGCTTAAGCAGCTGCGAACCTAAGCAGAATCTCGAGCCTTCAATCCCCTGCAGCAGAATCGCAGAAGCTCACCAAACCTGGACTCGCGCCTGTTGCGCTCTGCAACGCGGGTCTCCTCGACCGGGGTGCGGTGGCCAGCGAAGACCAAGCACCTTCCCAGGCGGTGAAAAGCTGTCCTATGAGTGGACAAGCCCTGCCTAAGGCGCATCTCTGCGTCGCAAACCGTACATTTCAGCTGAGTGCTGCGTTCTTAAAGTCGCTTGAATCGGAGTTCCTGAATACCCAGCTGTCTCGGAAGCTCTCTGAGGTAACCGCTGCAAGCTGCCTCCGAACCCCTACGGCTGCAGTCCTGCCTGAGCCTTCTCACATGTTACCGTAACATAAGCTACAGGAAAGACAACCCTGTACCGACTGAATTCCAGAAAGCTGCCATGGAATCGTGTAAACGAACCCTTCACACCTCAGCACCGTCTGCTGCATGATCGGCAGCGCGGTCTGGAGTGGGGCGCAGACTGCCTTGGAATGCACCACAATTAGGCTGTCGTGCCAGAGTGCGAGGCCCAAGCGCATGTTGCATCATGTTGCTGGACGGCTTATTGACGTAGTGGTGTGCGTGAGTGCTTGGTTGGTGTAAGCTGTTTGCCGGGATGATTCGGGGTGTGGGACTCCAGGCTTTAAGGCTTAGCTGCAGGACGTCTGGGGCCTTAGCTGGCGAGTCGAAACTGATTCCTGTCATCTGGATCTCCCGGTCGATAGATGACCCAAGCAGCCACAAGACAGGAGCCCCTCCTATTTTCAGCTGCATGCCCCAAACCCTGAACCCATCTCTAAACCCAAGACGCAGGGACCAGCTCCCCTGTTTGCATCCGGCCTTCAGGAAATAGAACCAGGTGTCCAGTGGCCCCAGCTGGCGAATGAGGTCCAGCAGCTTCAGCAAGGTGTCCCTGCTGATGGTCCTAGACACGGAAGGGGCTGATGAGCCTGACCAGAGGTTTGGTGGCACAACTGCTATGGGTTACATAATTGTAGTAGTAAACAGTGTGCGGGAATTTCGTCACCGTCGTAGACTGCAAGCCGAACCTTATTTATCGCATCCTCGTCGCCTGCATTCACTGATTCACAAAAACAGCCCCGCCAAGATCACATAATGGATTCAATGGTCACCATGGCCTTCAGCATTACTTTCATCACCATCTTTGCCGACAGCATCACCCGCCATCGTCATCCAAGCTCCTTATCTGTGCCAGCACGACGCACTTCTTGCCACTAGTTTCGGGTAGTGGGTAATTTCTGCGCGTGCTTGGTGTGTACATGCAAGCTCATATGTTCATATCTAGCTGCGAATGCTTGCTGCTGTGACATGCTGTTTCTGTTGCGTCGAATTGGCCGGCAGTGGCCATGGCGGCGGCTGCTGCATGCTGCCTCTGCTTCTGCTTTTGCTTCTGCTGCTGGAAAGATTAGTCGCGGTATGGCTGCAAATGCTGCTGAAGCTGTTGCTGCTGTGTTCTTCTATGCTGTGTTTCCCCTGTCGCTGCTGTTCTCGTTGTTGCTGTTCTTCTTCTTTCTTCTGCTGCTGCTGCTGCTGCTGATGTTGTTGATTTCTGATGTTGGTGTTGCTATTGCTGTTGTGGCTGCTGTTGCTGCTCTTGTTGAGAGTGCCGGTGCCCGTGCCGTCGCTGCTGACATCGCAGCTGCGGGTGATGCTGTTCTTCTTGTTGTTGTTGCGGGGATGATGCTGCTGCTGCTGCTGCTGTCTGCTGATGCTCTTTTGCTGGCCCTGTTGCTGTTGATGTTGTTGGTGGTGGCAGTGGAGCAGCTGCCAGCTGCTAGTACCACTGCTGGCGTTGTTGCTGCAGCAGTTGTCGGTGCCGGTGCCGTCACTGCTGAGATGGTGTGGGGTTTGTGGTTAGTGGTTGTTGTGGTTGCTGCCGTTGTTGTGGTTGTTGTTGCTATTGCAGTCGCGGTTGCAGTTGCGGTTGCGGGTGCTCTTGCTGTTGCTGTTGCTGCCGTTTTCGTTGTCGCTGTGCTTGTGCTTGTCGGTGTAGCGGTGGTGGTGTGATTGATTGTTAGCTTGCTTGCTTGCTTGCTTGCTTGTGTGTTTGTTTGTGTCCATGTGTGTGTGTGTGTGTCTCTGTCTGTGTGTGTGTGTGTGTGTGGGTGTGTGCGTGTGTGCGTGTGTGCGTGTGTGCGTGTGTGCGTGTGTGCGTGTGTGCGTGTGCGTGTGCGTGTGT